GACTAACTTCGTCCGGACGGATACGCCCGCCCACAGCCCCCGCTTAACCTGAATGAGCTTTTGGTCGTGCAAGGGCGCTAACAGATATAAAGTCTTATTGGTTTCTCGTTACCAGTCACAGCCTGGATAAACTAGACTGTGGCGATGAGGTTCCATTGCCATTACCTAAATTTCTTGGATATGGGGCTTAAATTTTTCTTTCCGTCCGCGCAGGCATACTCAATACGCTGTCGTCCGCTGACCTACCGTGCTGTTATTAAGGATATGCGGCGGCGAATGGGGCTGATCCCGTGGTCCATGAAAAGGGGGCGGGTTTGTTTTATTTGTTTGCGGGGTCCAGCTAGACTAGGTCAAGGAGTATGAAGAGCCGTTGAACTGCCATGCGCTGCTGGTATGGGATTATCATGGGAGCTCTTGGTTAGGGTCCAAAAAGGTTGGAAGCTGTGATGGTCTGATTGTTAGCGAAGGCAATCTTTTATGTAAAAACTAACGTCGAAGGACGAAGGCAAAGGGCACGAACAGGATTAGATACCCTTTCGAGCTGTCTTATTCATGATTGAGGGTGGAAGAAAAGAGCCAGGTTCTGGTGGGCTGTCTCTTGCTGTCTCGGGAACTTGTTAAATAAACGTCCTGACATGGAAAGAAACAGCCAAGCTTCTGGTGATATCGTTTCTCGCTGCCCCGGAAGTGGTTCTCAACAGCCGTCTGAATATGGAAAAAAAACCTGGAATGACGAAGCTGGAGAGCTGGTTGGTAGCTGCTTCTTTTACGTCATTGTAGGACGAGCAGTTGCTGGTTCGAAGGTCCTTCCTTCTTATATAAGTACACTTTGTTGACGGAAATGTTCTCCTGTCAAGGAAAGAGTGTTGCAGCTCAAGCGAACAAACAAAATGGACTGGAAAGGGTTTCCGCGACCTTTCTCTTGAAAAAAAATCGGCGGCGCATGACTGACAACTAACGAGACCGGTAGCATAGCAGAACAACAAGAAGACCACCACCACCACCACCACCACTACCACCAAGGGAACCATGCCTTCCCAAAATTCTCTCTGGGACTGCGGCCTCATTCACTGGGGGGTCGGCCGCCAACCAGGAGCGCATTGCCTCGGCCCTCGAGCGCCTCGCCGCGCTCATCGAGCGCATCGCCTTAGCCCTCGAGGCCATCACCAAGAACACCAGGGCTATTGCCCAGACTACATCGGGCCTCGTCGGCACCCTCCTCGTGGCTGTTGGCCTATTCTTGGTCCTCCTTTTTTTTTCCGGGGGGTAGGCCCTTTTTTCGGGTCTTGAGGCGTGTCTGCCGCCGGGTTTGGGCCTAGTTGCTGAGCCGGGAAGAGGTGGCCAGGGATATTGAGATGCATTAAAAAAAAATTTATTATGCGTTCTGGACGAGGGGGTTGTGTGTTTTCTTCTGTTTCTTGGGGCACCCGAGCTTTCTTTTTTTTTTCTGTTTTTTTTTTTTCCGGCGAGAGGCTGCCGGTGTCCCTGCCTCGTAATCACCAGTATTCTTATGGGTGTCGAGGTTGGACTCTACGCCTCCTTGTGGTGACGCCCGGTAACAGTTCTCGTCTCCATCTCAGAGAGAACTGGCTAGAGTAGAGACGCATGGTGGTACAGGGTCTGGGAGAAGCAAAGTGGTCAAGTGAGCCCCTGTATCTCAAAAGTTGGCTCAATCACTGAGAGCTTTCTTGTACCAAACAGTGGCAACCGCCTAATGGATTCATCATTAGCCCAAAAATTAGCTTTAACCTCAATATAAACACCCGCCCGAACATCGGTACAAAACCTCACCTAAAAATAAGCACAAACGCTCGCCGAAGCATTGGCTCAAGTATTGGCTTCAACGTCGACAAAAACACTCCCCCAAACATCAGCACGAAAACCTGTCCGAAAATCGGCTTGAACATTGGCTCAAACACTGGCTTGGATATTGGCATGAACACGAGTTTGTACATCGTCTTGAATACCCGTGAGGAGCGGCCTCAATATCGACTTCATTGTCAGTCTTAGTACCAGCTTCTTCCCAGACTTTATCGGATTCTCGGTTTCATATCTATCTCCGAGATCTACTTGCCGTGCTTCTTCCCATGAACACATCGCCTATTAATAACTGTCAATCTTGGCAAAGATTTCCAGGGCTCCTCTTCGTTCCTCTAGATCCGAAAATACGGAGTCTTGCTCAAATCTCCGGCATTCTACCACCATGTGCCATTGGAAAGAGGGAGCAATAATGCGCTGGTACGTCAATTCCCCCTGTCCTCGTCAGTGTGTTACCCTTGCGCCCGTCCCAAAGGTGACTATTGGTTATTTTTTTGGGCTCTAAATACTCCCCGGTCCTGTAAGAGTATGATATTCGGGAATTGGTAGATGAGCTTTGCAAAATATACAGCTGGAACCCCAGGCTGATTTAACTTCGTCTAAGACCAGTCAATGTCTTGGGACACTCCACACTTCACACAAACCTTCGGAAGTCCGTTTCTTTCCCCACGTGGAAAAATTCAGCACACCACCAGGGCTGATGCGGCGATAAGACCTTTTCCACGGTGGAGTGGTGAGCGTAAAGCGTTGAGAGACCATCTGGACGCCAAAGCTACTCCCCCACTATCCCAGGCTTTCAGAAACCCTGCAGCAAGCCTTGAAAGGCAACGGCCAACGAAAGTCTTTTAGAAGTGCACAAGCGAAAAAAGCAAAAAGCAAAATGATTGCTCGCCAATGTCTTCCCCAACTTCCTCGCCCATTCGCCATCACGTACAATCTATGACAAGGTCCAACAAGGCCGCTTCTCGCAGCCGACCTATCACCGCCGAACCTCTCAGCCCTCATCATGAGAACTGACATTGACACTGGTCCCAACGATGATGATCTCATTTCCATCATCGGCACAGTCGATAATCCCTAGAACCACACCACGCCGGCTAGCGGCGGTGCGATGCTGTACGCCAACCCAGACATGGATCCCTTGGTTGCAGCAGTACACCATAACCTAACACTGAGCCCTCTCTGTCGACTTCCCGGAAAGATCCCTGTCAAGATCGTCTCGAACGTCGATGACTATGCCGACATGGAGTGCCTTCGGCGCGTCTCTAGATGCTTCCTGCAGCTGGTGCCCAAGGTTCACGACCTGTACCAGCTGCGCATTCGACGTGGCTCCCCTCCACAATTCTTCCATAGCGTAGCTGTGTTGAATCTTGCTCCCCAGTGCCATTTTAGAGATTGGCAAACAGACAGCACGAGCGATTGTCATCCAAAGACAGATCAACATTTCCGATCCTGGCAGAGCGACTACGGAAGGACATGTATTGCCAGGACTGCTGGGTGGCCGAGGCGAGACACGATTGGAGCAAGAGGGTGCAAGGCATGACAAAGGAGTACCTGCACTGCTCTGGATGCCAGTCGGACCATCCCGCGTGCTTATTCTCCCCCCAACAGCGGCAGACCGTCGACAAGCACAAGCGTATCTGCATTGGGCATGAGGGGTTCTTGCGCCTGTGTCGTCACAAGACGGTCCGATGGGCCAACATCGTGGACCAGGGACGGGGCGGTTGCAACACGTATACCTATCCATGGACGATGAAGACGCTCATGGCGTGTGATCACCCCGACCATCTGATCCAGCATGGAAGAAAGAAGCCATACTACACCTTATACGACGGCCGGAGAGTGTCAAAGCATCCCACGGTGTCAATGCTTTACTACACAAGACCGACGACGCCGGTCACGCTTCTCGGCGGGCTGCTATCCCTCTTGGCAGCGGCGTGGAGGGCCGCCACCACTCCCAACCGCCGACCAAGTTCGTGCTCGCTTGGCACAGCTCCGAGAGAATGCCGGATGGTTCATTTGCCCAGAGGCCAAGCCGGGCCAGTTGGCAGAGCTACTCTAGCTTGATCCGAATCGGTCCAGCGCCCCCGGCCCAATCCCGTTCAAAGGCGAGCATCTAATCCGCTGGCACGATGGCGGTCCCAAACATGATCCTGCTGGCATGAAGAAGCCTAAAAACAGGAAGGGAGGCCTTGGGGACTGGTTGCTGGCAAAATTATCTATACACCAGGACCGCCGCCGCCTGGGGGAGGAATCAGGCCCCTCCCCGACAAAATTGAAGAAGAGAAAGCCAGCGCCGTCGTCGCGCCCGATTCACAAGTACGCCACATCGGCAATTGCATTTGCGGGTCCTGAATGTCGACCTCTAGGTGCTGGTAAAGCACGATTGTACCCGCGCCGCTTGTGAAGAAATGGACGGCCGGATGGCACGTGTCGAGTGTGGTGGTCGAGGGCTATAGACGACGTGAAGAAAAGAAGAAGAGAAGCCCCGGGGGCGCGGGCGCGGGCACGGGCGCCCGCACATATGCACACGTCACCTTTATGCGGCAGATACCTGTTGTCAATGACGATGATCCCTGGTGGCATATGGACCCGTCCTGGTACAACGCGCTTGCTCCGGAGTCGTATAACCTGGTGGAGGACGAGGAAGGGCTTTGGGTGTATTGGTGTTTGGAGCCCCGGTGCAGGAATCATTGGAGGTATGTATTGACGAGGGGGCTCAAGAAGGAGGAGTATCATCGGGCTTGCGGTGGGGATTGCCATTGAGATTCTTTATTCGGGGTTTTTTTGGGGGGGAGGGGGGCCGGGGGGTTCGTTTTGGCAGGAGGAGAACCTAAGAATAAACAATAGGGATACACCTGTTTTTCATTACGAGTAGGAGGACCTAGGAGGAGGGAAAATAAGAAGAGTTAGAAAGAAAAAAAAGAATAACGGATTAAACGAAACCTGATTTCAATATTTCATAACCCTACCCGTCACTAAAAATCGTGGCGAAACGAAAATAAAAAAAGGGTTGTTAAGTTTTAAAGTATCTTTCATTCATAATCCTTTGAGTTGTTTTGATGTTTTCCTCATAAGAATAGCTTTTCATTTTCCAGTTGGGCACGTCATACATATAATCCCCATAACATGGGACGAAAAACATCTAACGATCAGATGAAATTTGCATCAGAAGTGGATTCGGGCTGTCGGTCTAGAGGTATGATTCTCGCTTTGGGGATAATGAGCTAATACATAAGATGATGAACGTTCATCTCCTGCAAGAGGTCCCGGGCTCAATCCCCGGACAGCCCCCTTGAGTCCTCTCTTTCTTTTTAGTCTCATTCCCCGGAGGATAGCATCTTCCTTGAGTCCCTTCCTTTTTTAGTCTCTCATAATTCACGCCGCCGCCAAATCATTACAGCTTTTACTCTCTACGTACTTGTATCCTGGATGTTACGTGCGTTCCATACACCGCGAAGAACCTGAACTGCTCCGGCGGTTTGGAGGAAACGTACCTAGCTTTAATGTAAAAACTCAGCCATGTTTTTTGGGGGATAAACTTCAATTTACAGACTTTTGATTCTTCTGTTCATTTGCCATCCATTGCTTTCTTCATGAGCACTGCTTTAAAAAACTGCCGTATGTGGAGCACGCAGCGAAAGTTGCGGATGGAGACCCCTGAGTCTGCTTGGTGGACACCGTAAACAAAACATAAAATATCCACAAGCGAAATAGAGGTTATTGAAGTACATTCATGTGGAGGACGTATTTGGTAGAAGTATACCCATGCTTCAGGTTCACTCACTGCCACACTGGTATGTATTTCCCCGTTGGAGGTGTATTCGAGGTTGGTCATTTCCTTCCGTGTTCAGGCATCTGTGAGGAAGTGAGAGACGACGAGACCATCAAAGCTTCTGCTACTTGGCCCCTTGAACTGGGACCTCCCCTGCCGCGTGTCATGACCGTCGGGCTGCTCCACCTCCCTGAAAGCCCGCCTCCAGTCACAAATTAGCACAAGAAGACATGGAGTCCCCCTTGAAAATCCTGCATTCCACCTCCACCAGCATCGAACCAAGAGAGGAGTAGCCCCTCCTGTTCAGTCGCGGTGGCAGAGTGGTCTAATGCGCAAGACTAGAAATCTTGTTCCTTCGGGAGCGTCGGTTCAAATCCGGCCCACGACTTGAGATTTTTTTCCTTTTTCGGTGCAAGATCCCTTTTGGTTGAGAAATAAAACTTTTGTTTGAACTTGTGAGATAAGTTGTGATTGCGACGAGGTCCCATTTCTATGCTGACGGACTAGCGGGGACTTGTGCCGCGACAGGAAGCAGCTCGTGTTGGCCGACGGTATTTGCGGCTGTCTTATAGGGACAGCTTTCGGAAACTTCTGCGACTAACGTTATGTCAGTCTACTCTTCCCCGATGTTATACATTGACAGATAAGCTTTTTTTTTCTCCCACATACCCGAAGATGTAGTCTGTTCCGCCCCAGCAGCGATATCCTTCCGCCATATGATGCTGTAGAGAACATGCCCTAACATGCCTACCGAGAGCAAGAATGGGATGAGCTGTCCGACAGAGTCCAGTCGCTGAACGCCGCGGATGTTGTTCCACTGGATCTGCAACTCAACGGCATGAATGAAAAAGGCCATCCAGAAGGATGTCAGAACAATCAAGAATCCCGTGCCGATGCCTCGGGCGAGGGGACTCCACTTGTCAGCCTTGTTCGACAGCAGGAGCTTTTCCAGCGCAGTGCCCTTGACCATGTCGCGGAATTCGGCCGTGTGGGCGTCGTCCATGGGGTCGAGTGGTGTTTGGTCTTCTGCTTGCGATGGACGGTCTCGCCTTGGAGGTCGGGTCTTCTTGGGACGGATGGCCTTGAACAGAAAAATGACTGAGGGAATGCAGGTGTTAGCAACTTATCAGGGGTGACATGTGAGATGCTCCTTTTTCTATAGCACAGAGGAAAGATCTTACCAAAGATGAACCCAATAAAACCCGCAATCAGAACCGCAAAAAAACCAAGAAAGACAGTAAGAATCGTAAAGACGATCCGGTTTACAAGCCGCCACCAGAAGCTGCGCACGTCAAACTTGAAGAAGTAGAAGCCATACTCGGTACAGCCGTCACCAACACGAGGAAGGCGATCAATTCCAGTATTCCAGAACCAGGATGCGTACACCAAAAACCCCACCATGAGCAGCAGGTTGATCATGTACCCTAGCGGCGAGGCGATGATGGCGCGCTTGAAGTTGAGCACCGCCAGCACCTGGATGATGACCAGCCAGAAGAAGAGGCTCGCCTCGGACGCATACAGAGTCCCGGCGACGGTTTCGCGCACAAGCACAAAGAGCGTGGCCAGGCAGAAGGCGACGGACGAGTCGATCAGATACTTGAACTGCTTGTCGAGGAAGATGGACGCGATGCTGCCCGTCGCGCAGGTGATGTAGAAGGCGAGGCGCAGGCCGAGGCCGTACAGGTCTGGGTTCCCTTTGAAACTGCACTCCGGCGGTTCTAGCTGTGTTTCGTTGGTCGCCATTTGAGTTCGGGTTCTGATGAAGATGATGATGGAAATGGGAAGGAGGGAGGCAGGGTGCGCCTGAGGTAAAGGGAAGACAGGGGGATGATGACCCCTGCTCCTTGGCAAAAGGCCAAAAAGTCACGCGCTAATCTCCCAACGTCGCTGCCAAACACGAGCTGAAAGCTGAAAACGGAAAGCCATCTTCCCCGTCGCGGTCTCAAACTTCAACAAGATAACCACCCTCACCCAGCTCCAGCCTGACGACGACCATGGATAGCGCCGCCTGCGATGTCGAGGGCATCGCCGACTTATACGGCCTCGGAATCCGACTAGGCTTCTATTTCCAATGGATCTCGTCTCTGCTCGTCACGCTGTTCTGCCAGGAGGACGAGCCCCTCTACCGCGCCGTCAACCTGCTCCTGCAGCTCGCCGTCTTCGTCTGCCTCGTGTTTTTGAGTGCTACGGGTGCCATCCACGCGCCTGAAGTTCTCGTCGCCTTTTGGATGCTCATCGGCGCGCTATCGAGTCTGACCGGCGATGTCATCAGTCCGTTTGGCACAGCATCGGGGGCTGCGAGACTGCTCATGTATGCCGCGCTCTCGGTTTATGGATGCTGGTTCTGGTTTGGCGGGCTGGAGACATTGCCGGGGTTTCTATGCGGCGGTACGCCCTTGTTCTTCGGAGGTGATATAGCCAACGGGCCTCTTCGGACGCTGGGGAAGGTCGTTTCGGTCCTGGGGCTTTTGGCTTGTACTAGCCTACTCGTTTACTCGGCATTTTTGGCCTGGAAGAGAATGCAGGACAATGGATCAGGGGATATGAAAACGACCACATCAAGGGCACGCCCTCAGACGGAGATCCCGCTTCTCGCGATTTCGGTTGCTGTTATCGCCCTCTCTATCGCCTCGATGGAGCGTCTTGTTCGGGAGAATCAACTCGTCGGTGTTGATGATCTCTTTGCCGCGGGGCAGATAATTCCTTTTATTGTTGGTCTTGCTGGACTTGTCAACACGGTTGTGCCGGTTGTTCTCTTTGGGAAGTTCTTAAAGCCGAGGTGTTGGCTGGTGTTTAGGCATCACTTGACCTGAGTTTTTTTTATGTACTATTCCAATACACTGCCGTCAGCTGTATCGCGAATCAGCACTCCGTTTGTATATCTGTCTCCTGCCGAGGAGTCTGTTTTAGCCTGGATGCAGGCCAGGACGCGGCTTCTGATTCAGATCGTTTTGGGAATCATAAACTCCACAAAGTGTAGTTTCTTGTTATTCTCTTGGACTCCCCATGCTCCGGCGCGAAGGACAACAACCCGTACCTTTGATACTATGCGTATTAGTCTATCGAGATCTCGGTCATCAGGAAGTTGTCTAACATGTTGAGTTGTCGAGGAACGGGCCCAGAACAGCCCTCCATGCCAGGCGACATCGTCAACCTCTTAAACACAATCCTAAAGATCCAGTTAGCTACGTCTGGAAGGGATTGACCAGAATCACACACTTATTCGAGACTGGACAACTTGTCGGCTACCTCGAGCACCTGTCTCAGCAACAGCTTCGATTGGCGTTTATTATCAACTTAACAGCTTTCCAGCGACGAAAACTGCGGGATGTGAACATGCCGAGCGTGTCTCATGTCCCTCAAAGACACTGGATGAGCCCAACACAGGCTTTCTGTTGTCATCTTTGCCGTTGTCGTTATCGCCGAAAAACAATATGCATCTTCTGTGCTGGCGATCTGTCGTTCTACGCCGGCGAGGACGAGCAAGTCTCAGTTGTTGACAAGAGTTGCGCTCAGCATCCTGGCGCTCTTGCTTTCCTGACTTTCACATCTTTGACTGCGGAATGAGCAATATCCAGAGCCTCACACTGCTCTGACTTGGGTAGGTAACCAAGCTGCCGGAAGTGCCAATAACATGGCTGGGGCAAGGAGAATCGCAAAGTCAGGTACAGCGTTGCGTAGAGCTTTGAGGGGCGGGCATGGATGGGGTCGGGTCTACCATGTGGGGCAGCGAGTCCCCTGTTGTGTCGAAGGTCATGGAGGGGTGACGAAGTGTTGCCAAAGTTGCTAAGCTGCAAAACTTCTTCAAGCCGACCACGGACCCTTTTTCTTTCCGACCTCAACAGCCACGACAGTATTCCGCCTACGGATCTGCTGGAATCTCTACAATTGGTATCTAGCTATCGAGAAAAAAGTCACCCAACCGTCAAGAGGGTCCGCGGTCTTGTTGCCACGGCCGACATTTGTCTCAGGTAAACATCCTTCGCATTTGAACCAATTTCCTCCCCTTCTTCATTTCTTACCTTTCCAGTTCCTACTACTTCCTTCGTTTGGTCTGCTTCTTCGTGTTCTGTTTTGTTCTCCTTCTCTTTAGAGCGTTGACCGTCTCCCTCCTTTCTTGCTCCTCTCCCCTAGGACTTCGGCTTCCTCTTCCATCTTTTTTGTTCCATCGTTTTCCACTCCTTCGTCCTCTTTTATTGGCTGTGTGAGTGACCATTGCCTATTCAGCCAGATACAATGCTACGCCGAAATACTCAGCACGATTGCTTCTGTGGAAGAGCGGCTGGTGTGTCGCTTCATCGTCTTATTCTTCTTCTTGGGTTCCTCGAATTCCCGACCTTCAGCTTCCTTCTACTCGTCTTCTTTCTCTTTTTTCTCCTTCCTTTTGTACTTTTCTCCGACTTTTCCTGACGCCATTCTTGTTATCATTAGGCGCGGCAACCGTGTAATCGAGAAGCTAGTGCAATGCCACTTGCCTCAGGGCATCGTCAAGCCCTCCTCTGACAAGCTTATCGTCCTG